TCAATCATCTCCAGCCATTTGCTTTTGCTATTTGATAAACTATGGCCACTTTTGGTGATGCTTCTGATTTTGTAAGAGTGTTTTAGTTCCTTTTCAATTATCCTGCCTCAGCCTCCTGAGTTCTGGGATTGCAATGTGTGCCACCATGCTGGGTTTGAATCACTTCATTTTTTTTTTAAGGATTAGAGAGATAAACATGTTCTAAAGTGATTTATTTATTTTTATTTAATGCACATGGATGTTTTGCTTGCATGTACATCTCTGTGAGGGTGTCATATCCCCTGGAAGTGGAGCTACAGACTATATAAACTGCCTTGTGGGTACTGGGATTGGAACGTGGATCCTCTGGAAGAACAGCCAGTGCTGTTAATTGTTGAGTCACCTCTCCAGCCCTGATAATATTTTTTAAAGTAAAAAAGTACATTTGTGAAATTTGAATTCATTTTTATGTGTGTGTATATATGTATGTATTAAGTATGTATTTTTAAGACAAAGTCTCACTAGGTAACTCTTGCTGACCTGGAGTTTGCTAAGTAAACTGGAAGATCCAACCGGCCTCAGCCTCCTGAGTACTTGGGACTAACCACATGGGCCGCCATGCTCTGCTCAAAATTTAGATTCTTAACTTTGTCATCCTAATTCCTTTATGGAACAAAGTAGAAGAATCAATCAATTGTTCTGTCTATCTCTTCTTCCTAAAAAACTTCTAAATCACTGAATGGAATTGTAGTGCAACGGCTGCATCATGGAATAGGTTAAGCAACCGCTGAGATCTGTCAGAACCCAGTTAAAAATACAAAGGGAACAATAAAGACGTTCTAGACTCCAGAGAAAACGTGAGTCTTTTGGCGGTAGATGCGCTGTGCTTCGGGAGTTGATAAAAGCTGGGTGTGTGGAAGGACATTACTGGTATGCAGGTCACAGCTCTCCGTCAACCTTGTTCTGGAGTGAGAACTGAGTAGTGACAGCAGGAACATGGCCTACCCTCAATTGTGTGTTTACTATGTTCCAGGTGTCCCCGGCACTCGGCTCATATCATTAATCCTGGGGCTGGTGAGATGGCTCAGCAGGTGCTTGATGAGCAAGCCGGGTCTCTGAGTTCAATCCCAGGACCCCACGTAGCAATGAAAAGAGCTGACCCCATAATATCATCCTCTGACCTCCCCATGTGCACTCCACATGCCCATACCCCTCGCACTAATAATAATAAATGAGATTAACATCTCAAAAGCTTCAGACAGGTATTGACAAGCATGCGGCAGCAGCCAAGATGTGACACTGAGTACTGAGGCCGCGGAGTAGAGCACTCTCACTACCCGCATGTGCCACACCCCCTTATAAAAAGCAAGCTGGGGACTGCAGCGGTGAAGAGCACCAGCTGTTCTTGCAGAGGTGAAGGCGGGGGTTAAATGAGTTCACCAGACCCACGGGAAAAGATAAATAGGTATTTTATTGGGGAACAACTTACACAGATAAGAGCAAATAATCGCCGAGGACTTCTTGCTCCAGAAGATGCAGTCTCTGGCCTTTTGATGCTCTCCCGGACCCTCTACCTTAAAGGGTGTGGCCACTACTACAAGTTCACTGGTAGGGCAAGATGCCACTACACCCACTACACAAAGGACCTGGGTTCAATTCCCAGCACCCACATGGCAGCTCACAACTGTCTGTAATTCCAGTTCTAGGGGTCCCGACACCCATGGCAATACAGCAATGCACATAAAATGAAAATAGATAATTTTTAAAAAGAGCAAGCCCTTCTCGCCCCTCTTTCTTCCTTCTGCTGTCACTCAGAGGCCTTCTCTGCACAGTCCCCCATAAAGCTTCCACATGAGCTCTGCTGCGTGGTGTGGCTTTGTGGTACCCCTTGGCTCCAACCTGCCAAGGTTACCTTCTGCCATTAAACTATTACACAAGGCCCTTATGGAATAGATGTATGAGACAGATACAGCTTTTAAATTCTCCCTCTACAGTCAGAGGCCAATATTAGGGGGTCACTTCTCTCTTTTCATTGTTACATGGGTTCCTGGGATTTAACTCAGGGGACAGCCTTGTTCTTCCAGCACTTTCACCTGCTGAGCTGTCTCACCAGTCCCAGGATTAAGTGCACAGGACACCTGGGACATAGTAAACACAAATAGGACTAAGAATACTTCAATAATTTACCCATGATCAAGTGGTCCTTGGCTAGTTCTGGCTGTCTCATTAGTTTGGATTAAGGTCTGGGTTTTTTATCTAAAGTTTTTATGGAAGAAGGAAGTGGGGGTAGAGGTAGATTTTCAGATGCTTATTACTAGCTACTTTATACATATCTCATTAAACTTTGCCCTCATATTGTAAGACTCCTGGTATAGTCAAGGACGTGAGAAAAAACGACAAAGAAGTCAATGGCCAGCTGGTAAGCAGTAAAACTAAAACTTGAGCCTTAGTTTGTCTGACCCTGAACCTGTGGTTATTTTTTTGTTTTTTGTTTTTGTTTTTCACTAACAGAGGAAATTTCAGAGCAGCATTCAGGCAAGAAAGAATGTTTAAGGAAAGCTTCCATTTAGCACTTCATCCTTAGCTTTGTCCAGCCTTAACTAGTTTAACTGAACTAGTTGTTCACTCAATACCAGGAAGTAGGTGTATGTGTGGCAAGAGGTTGGGTACATAGACTTCTTGGGAAATTAAGTTGATAGAAAAAAATAAATGTCTGAGAAAAAAAATGGGGTTTTATTTTATTATTTTTATATTATTTTATTGTAATTAATTATTATTTGGGGGGTTTTGAGATAGTGTTTCTCTGTGTAACAGCTCTGGCTGTCCTGGAACTTACTCTATATGTCAGGCTGGCCTCGAACTCAGACATCTGCCTGCCTCTCTGCCTTCTGAATGCTGGGATTAAAGATGTATGCTACCACTGCCTGGTTAAAAAAAAGGGGGGGAGGGGATTTTAAGCAGCAGCATTTTAGCTAGTCATTTCGTGTCTTTGAAGAGCTGTGTTAAAGGTTTATGCTTTCTTCGGAGGAGTCAAAGGAAAGAGATTAGAGGAGTTCAGCAGGTAAATGAACTAGGCTTTCTGAACTTTAAACCACAATAACCCTTAGTCAAATTTAGAACTCCTAATCAAGAACATTGTCTTAAACAATACAATTTTACTTTAAACTACCCGGCAACTTACCTAAAACAATGCAATATGGACAAACTATTGTTTTACGATTACTAAGCATGTATCAGAAGGCACTCAGAACTCAATGGCAGTGGCCTGTGGTGCAGGTCCTCTGCCCGGGCATGCCCTGCATGTTGAACTCCTTGGCAGACTCTGTGCCAGTTCTTGGGTCTCTCCTGAGAATCCTGAGCCCCATGTTCCCTTTGCCCCCATCCACCACTGCCCCAAGCCTTCTAGAGCTGTGGTTCTCACACTTCACAGGGCATGGAAGTGAGCAGGCTTGTTAAAACACAGATTGTCAGCTCCACCCCAGGAATTTCTGATTCAAGAGTCCGGGTGTGGCCCCGGATTTGCATATCCAACAAGTTCCCAGCTTGATGCTCCTGGTGTGCAGGATAGACTGTTGCTCCAGGGAAAATCCCTTTGTGGCCTCTTGGCCTGAACAGACAATTTCTGTCTTTTCTGAAAGGTCTGGGAGCCTCTCAAAGGAAGGGATTGAATAAAGGAAGTATAAAAAGGAGCAGTAGGGGTCTGCTGGAGGAGATCATGGCTGATGGAGCCCTGCATAGCCTTCCAGGAGCAAGGCTCCCAGAAAGTCTCCCACAAGTGTCTGCTTTGGTTCCTGCCTCTAGTCATTCAGAGCACCATGGTTCAGCACCGGAGCAAAACAATGCTGTTCAGTAGAACTGGGCATCATCCAGGCATGATGTACAATGCTGTAGTCAGGAGCCATGTGTGGCTGGCCATGTACGATGCTTTCATGTGTTGTAAATTGGTTCCCACTGTGATGTATCAATAGTGTGGAAACCTAATCTGACTATGGTGCTTAGAGGTGAGGCCCTTGGAAATTATTAGTTTTAGATGAAGTCATCAGGATGGAGCCCCTATAACTGAATCCTAGTGGTTTCCTAAGGAGGAGGAAAGGGTAGAATACATACTCACCAATTCATGTGCACTCTCAAGCCCCTGCCAGATGTTCTGTGCTATTCTGGGACTCTGCAGTAAGAAAGCCATCACCAGATGTGGTCCTTCAACCTTGTACCTCTAAGACCATAAGTTAAAGCAAACCCCTTTCTTTAGAACTCATCTCCCTGGTGGTATTATTTTACGGACACCAGAAATGAATGAATACATCATAAAAATTAGTTAAAGCTAAAGAAATTAAAAACCCATTTTATTATCCAGGCAGTGGTGGCACACATCTTTAGTATCAGCACTTGGGAGGCAGAGGCAGAGGCAGAGGCGGTGAATCTCCCTGGGTTCCAGTCCAGCCTGGTCTACAGAGTGAGTTCCTGGACAGGCTCTAAAGCTACACAGAGAAACCCTGTTTTGAAAAACAAAACAAAACAAAACAAAACAGCTCTAAGGCTGCGTGCATGAGAGAGAGAGAGAGAGAGAGAGAGAGAGAGAGAGAGAGAGAGAGAGTAAGGCTGTCCACAAGCAGAGAGCCATGAACTCTGGGTGTACAGGCTGTAGCCAACAGATGTGAACCTCGTGGCTTCCCTCCCCAAGCCCTGTTGGCTTCTTTGGCCTCGGTGTCCTGCAAAGAGTCCTCTTTAGTTGCAAATCCAGTGCCTTCCCTGTGAGATGAATCAGATACGCACATTCAAAGAGCAGATGGACATCCTTCCACTCTAGCAGACAATGCTTCTGCCTGCGTGAAGACACTGGAGTGAATCAATACTCCTCAACTCTCCTACTGGATTCACCTTGGCAAATGACAGCGTGCTGTGTTCCAAAGCCTCGGCTCTCAGATCGGCCCTGATACTGCAGACTGATGCAGAGGCAGTTTAACTGACAGGCAGAGTGCCTGAGAAGCATATGTACACAAAAGACCATGTCACCAAATATCTTAATTTTGACTTTAGCCTGTATATTTATTGTAAAAATGTATAAAATTTATTGTATAAAACGATGTGGCATTCTCATACAACTACATAGTGTGCTTTGATTGTAAACTATTTTCCTTTAACTTTTCTTTTAGTTAGTGGAGTTATTGTTATAATCCAACTTTCCTCTATACCATGGATATTCTGATCTTCTTCAGTGACTTTTAGTTTCAGCTTTGTAAAGGTGAGTTGTCCAAAATTATATCTGTCCCAGATCACTCTCCAACTGTGGACATAGATATCAAACAGTTTCTTGAAGGAGACCTCTGGATAGTTCCCAGGTGCTGGCTTCACAGAGTGAATTCTAAACTCTCTTTAGCTTCTTCCACTGGACACCATCCTGACAGGGTGCCTCTTACTCCTCAGAAAGCTACAGCTCCCAAAGTAGTCATGCTGACCTCTGTGTTGTCAGTGACCCTGCTAAGGCAGCATCATTAGGAGAGAGAAGGGGTTCTCAGGATGGCCTGGCCTAGCATGGGGTTGGGGCTGGTGTGGAAGGAGAGAGGCAGGCTCTCTAAGGCATGCCACAGCTCCAATAGGGCAAGGACAGAAGGTCCGGTGCCACCACAGAGAGAAAAGACAGCCCCTGATGAGTAGGTGTCTTGGTCCCTCCTGGGTTTGCATATGATGGGGACTCTGCCACTGGCTTATCATGCTACAAAGTGCCACCCAGCTGATGTCTAATCTCTGCTCTTGCCACACTGCCCGCTTCCGCCTTCACATCCTTCATAGACTCCACAGCACTGAACGTGAAACTGGAACTATGCAGGAAACTTGTCCTTGAAGCCTAGAGAAAGTCCCCAATCCTTAGCAGGTCTGTAGAGCAGCATTGAAGACACATGGTGACCATCTAGGTTAGGAAGGGACTTCCCTGAGTTTTCAGCTGCTGTCTTGTTTTTCTCTTGGTACTAGACAAACTGAGAAGTCAATAATCATCCACCTTTCCCTTCATCCCCCTGTCTCCACCCCCTCCCCACCATCCTACACTATTTTCACCTCAATTTCCTGTCACTTAACATCTTGGAGCCTTGCATTCCTCTGAGTCCCTCTGGGAATGATTTGTCCCACCTCCTCTGGCCCTTTAACTCTGAAATGTCCCTCTGGGTTTTGGTTGAAAGATAACTTCCTCCACGTGTCTTCTAGACACCTGTCTAGATGACTGACTTGACCCTGTTGTGTGGCACTCTTTATTCACCCAGTGATATTGATAGTATAGAATGTGCCTTTGGCCTCCTCCTGTGACAGGGGCTGGATGGTCCCCCTTGTCCCTTTTAGGCTTGACTAATGCTGCTATAGGGTTTAGCTTATACACAGCAATCTAGCTTTTAAATAGGCAAATGTCTACTCATCAAAAGATGATAAAATGTTGACTAGCACAAATAACTAAGTAGATGCAAATTAGAACAACCTTCAAGTTGACTTTTCATCCTTTAGATTCTCATTCACCAAATCTATTGGCAACTTGAAGGCAGATATTCCAGCCTTTGGAACTGTGAGGAATAAACTTCTCTTGTTCATAAGTTACCCAGTTTGCAGTATTTTGTTACAGCAACCAGAATGGGCTAAAACATGTTTTGCAAGTTTGCTCTGCTTCAGATCCCTGCACTTTAATTTGGTTATTTGGAGAGGAAGAAGACATCTGATCTAACACATCCCCATCCTGACTCGCTTTAAAAGTAGAGACCATGCACTGTTTACTCGTTTGCAGATGCAGGTCCCAGACACAGAAGGTACCCGACCAACCTGACAAGTCCAGCTCCTTATGTTACTATTAGTTCCTCACCCTCTTGAAGTTCTCTCACAGAGGCATTGATGCTACTTAAGCAGGACTGGAAAAATTGTCATGTGGCTTCTTCTACCTGCCCCCACCCAGCCCCCTAGCAGAATACTTTTCCTTTTCTGTTACCACTTTCAAAGTGAACTCTATAGTTGGCTTTGGAGGAAGTGTCAAGTCGGAAATGGTGGGAGAAATCCATAAGCCCCTTTTCCAATGTCCATAATAATATAACCACCTTTTCGTTGTGTTAAGTAGTATTTTTTTTTCTTGATTGAGAATCAAACTCAAATAGGAAGGTACACTAATGTCCATGTGAGGTATGTGTAAGAATCAGACATGGTCATATTATTTATTTAGAGACTTGAAAATAATTCCCTTAGAGCAATGGCTTCTTTGGGTGTTCCATAGCCTGAAACCCGATCGAAAGCTTGTTCTTTGCCAAAAGTTATGTGCTGACAGAAGATAACAATATGCAGGGAGGAAGTAGAAGGAACACCTGGAGAAAGGCCTGGATTCTTAGCTTCACTTTAAGGCGGCTTTGCTCGTCTTATTACACATTACAGCTTGAGGTTTAGAAGTTGTAACCCCCATTGTGCAATAGAGGAAACAGGTTCAGAAACTGAAATGACTCCATCCAAGTTACACAGCTAATCAATGGCAGAGACTGGACTAGAATCCGATTCCAACCCAGGGCCAGCATTCTTCCATGCCGTGTCACATCTCAGTGGTCTCTGGCTTCTGGAGTGTGGGATTGGTAAACTTTGATTATCATCTCCATAGTAATGATCCTGCTCTGCACCCTCACCCCCACATACCTCACTCAGTTTCTGTACTTGGTCTCAGCCCCAGGGCTTGCTCACATTATAAATGAAGCAACTGCTGTAAGCCCCTAACATCGCGTAGTAATCTCCCACACAGTCTCCAAATGCCTTCTGCTGGCACACTCCCTGTTCATCACTGCAAGCCCTTAGTCAGTTTTTTTCCTTCACTTCTCTCAAATGGCCCTTTCTTTATACTCGTGTGCTAAAAAAGAAAAAAAATTAAAGATGAAAATATCATTCCCTTTTCTTTTCTTTTTTTTTAAAAGAGAGATGGGAGGTGGGCAGGGCCCCCCTTTTTAAAAAGATTTTATTTATTTATTATGTATACAGTCTTCTGCCTGCATGCCAGCAGGAAGCACCAGATCTCATGTAAGGTGCTTGTGAGCCACCATGTGGTTGCTGGGAATTGAACTCTGGACCTCTGGAAGAACAGTCAGTGCTCTTATCCGCTGAGCCATCTCTCCAGATTTTCCTATTCCCTTTTCTATTACTTATGTACTAAAGTTCAAAGTTCACCTTCTTCCCATAACTATAATTCTGATACTTCAGTTTTAGCCTTGTACACAGCCAACTTTAAAGTTCTGTTTAGCTAAACTGCACAGGATGCTGAATGTATGTTTCTATATGCCAGGATTTCTATCACAGGGTCTATAGAGTTCATGGTGGGTTCCTAATGAAGATGTATAGAACAAATGGACCAATCCCTGCTCTAGGCAGTGGAGTCTACATGGCTTGTCTAGACCACCTTGCTTCGTCGAAGGCCAGTCTGGAATCCTCACTCTCTATAGCAGATACTAGCATATAAAGGGTGTGATTGGCCACCATGTGTTGTCCCAAGAGCTTGTTGGCCTAAACTACACTCATCAGGGTGCTACCAAATCAATTGTGGCAACAAGGCATCATTCGTGTTTCCACAAACTTGATCTGAAAAGCATCTGTTTCTATTATTATCATCCCCTACAAGTGGAGGTGCCCAAGACAAAGGGAAGGGGCTTAAGTACTGTCTGAAACTGCAAAATTGACAAACCCTTTTCTATTTTGATGTGCTGAGACACCAAGAAACCAGAGAGTGGAGCTTATGGACTAATCAGGGAGGAGGATGGTCAGAGAGGACAAAACCCCACAGAGAACTAATGACAACGCTATAGGACAAGAGCATACATGGAAACATTTGTGTAGAGGGAGAGATGACTGCAAGATGGATGCTTTAATGAGAGAGAAGTAAAGTGTCTGCACAGAGCTTAGCACAGAGTAGGTGTTCAATAAATGTCAAGGCGTCTGCTTCTACATCAAACATCCAGCTGGGTGCACAGCACACAGAGGAGGGAAACGGCCTCTGATTGCCACCGTTCTTCCTCCCCCACCCTCCCACCATCTGCTCCATCCTGGTGGGATCATGAGAAACACATCAAGTTCTTTCCCTCCTCCAAAGGGAAAAGCTGTTCCTTATGCCAGGAACCCTCTGTTCCCAGATCTTGGCAGGGCTGGCTCCCCCTGTCCTTCAGGCCTCAGGCTAAATGCTTCCTCCTCACAGAGGCCTTTCCTAGTCATTTCTCCCTCCTGGCTTCTCTATCACACCATGCTGTCCCTGCACCCTGACAATTGGCAGGAGCTGTAATGACTGGGTTTGTTTCTTTGCCTGTTTCTTGTCCCACTTGATGTCAAGCTCAGCAGTGTTTCTCATGGCTGTGAGATGTACTGATGCCTGGTGAGCATGAGGTCACTTCCTGGTCAGCTGGGATAGTCTCACAGACGAAGGTGTATGTATGTGACTTCACAGGGAGAACAAGAGTTCACCACTGGAAGCTAGAGAGAGGGGTGGTAGGTCAGGACTGGTCAGTCTGTCATGAGCAGTTCTGTCCAGGGGAAGCCTGAATTCCGAGTTTTGAAGCCGCATTAGACATTTGAACAGAAATGCTTTGGGATGATGGGCAAGGGATGGGTACCGCTAGTATATCTATCTATGAGAGGCTGAGGGCTAAGTGCCCTCCATTGAATTGAGCTCTCCCAGTATCCTTTTGAGCTGGATTTTTTTTCCCCTTTGTTCTTTTTTTTAGGGTAGGAATTACCTCCCTACCTACTGGCCAGAAGAGATTTTATCCAATGTCCAAGCCTAGTTTCCAAACACAATTCATAATGAAGGTTGTAATTATTGTATGTATTGAGTATCTACTAAACACCAACCCTCCCACTAGCCACTTTGTGCCCCATGTTCTACTTAAGGCACAGGCATCACATGAGAAGCCATTTTATACCCCATCTTCAGTGTCTGATGATAGGAGGCAAAGAGTGAATAGGATGTCTGCACTCACAGAGCCAAGAAGTGATGAAGAAACTTCAAACCCAGCTGCCTCCTACTCCAAAACCAGTGCTCTTGGCCACAATCTTCTTTCTGGGCAATGTTATCTCCCAGGTGAATCAATTAATTGGGTTTGGCTCAGTCCCTGTGGATTGAGTCATCCTCCATCAGACTGCCTGAACCTGTTCCTCTCCCGGAAATTGATCCAAACTAATCCCCAAACTGATGGGTAAAGCCAAGACTCTGAGAAACTTTGGTAACCCGACTGTGGAGACTCTATGCTCTTTCCTTACTTAGAGAGTTGCTTTTCTCTAGGACAGGACCTAGAAGAACCACGGTTTAATTACCGGACATACCTTGCTTTGCTCAGCCCGGGAGTGGGATGGTTAAGATCTTAGAGAGGCAGCCACACTGCTCTGAATGCCAGCTCTTGTACTTAGTAACCATATGACCTGGCTTGGCTGTGTTTCCTTACAGATTGCACTTCAACCCTCACCTGCAAATGTAAATGTGGGTAAGGACAACCTCACAGTGTTGCTGTGGGGGTTACATCAAGAAGCATGGGAAGTGCCAAGCACTCTGCTTGTCATCCAGCAAGCCCTCAGCAGTTGTTCATCTTCATCATTACTGTTAATAGTGTCAAGGGAGGGGTACAGCTGACCAGAGCGGGTTGGAATTGGCACAACTTCTCAGCCACCGTCTTTGGGTACAGAACATCCTCTGGATTCCTCGTCTTTAAACTTTGGGTAACTGAGTAAGTTTTGAGCATGACAGACATCCTTAACTCAAAGTTGGCTTCTGTTGAGAAATTAACAAACACCAGAGGCAGGGGATGATCCTGGCTTACAGATGGATGGCATCTGGACCGCCTGACTCCCATCAGTATTCTCTGGTGTGGGCTTCAGAGTGTGCTTGCTGTACCAGCTTGTCTGCACAGTAAGCCTCCTGTTTGGCTAGGCGCATCAGCACAAGAATTGGGGAAAGAGAGACTTCAGAGCAAGGCCTAGTCTGCGCATGCTGTGAGTCTATCTGTAGAAATCTTGGTGGATGGTAGCAGGCCAGCATCTCTCCTGTGGGAAGGTTTACAGATGCTGGTATTCCGGGATGTGGCGACAAATCACTGTCTTTTCACAGGTAGAAACGTCAGATCATTTGGCATGCTACTTTCTTGGTAACTGGAAGTGGGCTGTGTTAAGATGCTGAGACCTCCAAGGTCCCCACTAAATGAGCTTCTGAGTCTACAGGCTGTTAGTTAGCTTCTGTCACATAGTCTATGGCCAGTGAGTTACTACCACCGCAACTGACTGACTGGGAGGGCAACGACTTCCCAATCACTTTTGTCTGGAACAATACCTTTCTCAGGGCCAAGAAGAGTGGACATTCATGCCTAGTGTAGACCAACTGCCCAACAAATGCTATGCTCGTCCCATCCCTGTAGTTGTGATTGCCCTAATGCCTGAAGCCCTGCCTTCTGTTGCTCTGATTTCTTTTACAGGCCTTAGTAAGTCCCCCTGGGGTGTTACATTATCTGTGTTTAGTGGGTTTTTACCAATCTAACCCTTCCTTGTCAGTCATGCCCAGGGTTCGTTCCCGGAACAACACAGTAAAATACATCTAGCCTGGAAGAGCACATCCCTCTGGGCTTACATTTCTTCCATTTGAAAAATGAAGACATTGGCCTAACTCGGAACAGTTCTAGCTGTACAAATGAATTATCCCATCCAGCCCTCTGTCCACTGCCATACATTCTTTTAGTACCTCTTGATCTCTGTTAGGAACTGCACAGGAAGAGCGAGTCCCTCACACCAAGGAGAGACTACATCTCTGCAAAACAGCAGTATGAGAAAGAAAAGCTGGGGCTGGGGGACAGGAACACTAGCTTCTCTGAGCCTGCGCACAGGGGGGGGGGGGGGGGGGTGCACAAAAGTCACTCCCCCTCCTGTCTGCCCAGCATTACTCAGCGTCCTGAAATGCCTGCCTCCCTGCAGCCGGTGCCGGTCATCCTCGGCAGCGCGGCACAAAGGTCCTCTTGTGGGCCGGCAGTCAGGGCCGCCGAGCCTACGGGTGACTCACGTCCTTGCCATTTCCTTTGTGCGCTCCGCTCCAGCGCGTGGCTGCGGGCGGGGGCGCGACTTTGGCGCAGGCGACGCGGGCGCTCCGGGAAGCCTCTGAGCGCTTTCATGTGGGCTGGGGGCTCCCGGCACGCGAGGCTGGCCCACGCGCACAGCCTCCCGGGGGCCGGCGGCAGCTGGAGCGGTGGCGACAACGTGCTCACAGGCTGGCTTCTTCAGGGCTCAAAGCGCCTGCCCTTGGGGAGGCATGTGGTCCCCAGCAGGCGTTGCTCTGCGGCTGGTCTCCTCTGAGGGCGATTCATTGAGAAAAGTGAAAATTAGCTACGGCAGGGAAGGGCCCGCGTGGCTTGCGACGCAACCTCGCAGAGGATCTCTGGTCCCAGCTCCAAAGTCCCAACAGCAGCTGCCAATCGTCTCTATGCCGGGAACATCTCTCCAGGCCTAAGGCAGGGGAGGGCCTCCCTGTACTCAGCAACTTGCCATGTGATGCGTGGGTACGAGCCAAAGCAGAGGATCAGCACTCATGATCATTGGCTTGTCTGGGAGCCCGGCTTCCTGGGAGATAGTATTCCCAAGCAAGTGTTAACGATGGGCTCCAAAGTTCCCCTGTTTCCTATGTCTGCTTTTCATCTCTGCCCATGCGCAGTTGCCTTTGCCACAGGGACACTCTGAGCAACTTGCCCTCCCACAGTACATCTCCAGGGTGTTTCACAAGCTGTTCCCAGCAGGGAAAGCCCATCCCATCCTCCTTAAGGTCACGGGGTTGTCCTGTGTTCCCTTCAGCTGGGAGTTGCTCCCTAGAGTCTAGCAGAATGCTACTTTTGTGCACTCCTCCGAGAAAGACTATTTACAGTCTAGTGGCAGGCTTACCCACCCAGGGCTGTGCTATGACTGCTCCTTTATACAAGGGTAAGGGGTAGGCTGAAATAGCAAGTGAGCCACTGAGTGACTGGCTGAATGGAAGACTTGGGGAAGGAAATCTCACTGATAACCTACTCTCCCTGGGTGATATCAGAAAAACCCTGATTAGAAGCCCAAGGAACCAGCTGTAACTCTCTTTCACTGTGCAATGTCTGGGCCTTCAGGCTTGGGAGGTGACTGCTCTCAGTGAGGAAGGACCCACCAAGACAAAGGAGACACAGTTGCTATCAAGATACAGAGCCAAAGCCAGCACGTGGAACTATTTAGATTCTGGAAGACCATGGAAACAAACCAAGCGTGGACATAACGATGTCTGTCTTTCTCTTGGGCCAGATCACCAGACTGTCCCTGAGAACACATAGTGGGTACAGAGAATAACACTCCTCCCAACTCCTGTGTTCAGCTGCCATCACTGTTTAAGGTTTGCAGAGCCCTCCCAATAGTGACCACTGGGTATGAGTGGCCCGGGTGTAGGTTTCTGCTCTTAATTTAAGATGGTCATCAAGCCAGGTGTGGTGGCACATACCTTTAGTCCCCCAGCACTCTGGAGGCAGAGAAAGGAGGGTCTATGAATTAGAGGCCAGCCTTGTCTACAGAGCAAGTTCCAGGACAGCTAGGGCTACACAGAGAAACCCTGTCAAGAAAAACAAAACCAACTA